TCTCCTCAATTTTCTCTCACCTCTCCTCTCTTGTGACAATTAAACACAAGTAAGACCTTTTTACTGTATCTGTCTCCTACCCTCTCCAATTTTTTCCATTTTTTATGTCTCCAGGCTTCCTTGTGGGTATTTTCTTCTGAGCTATTTTCTGGGTCACACAATTTTTTCAGCCTGGGTCTAATCTGCTCTTTTTTTGGTTAATTTTGATTATTATGTTTTTCAATTTTAGAATTTTCTTTTATTGGCTGGGTGCAGTGGCTCACACCTGTAATCCCAGCACTTTGGGAAGCAGAGGTGGGCAGATCACCTGAGGTCCGGAGTTCGAGACCAACTCAGCCAACATGATGGGACTCCGTCTCTACTAAAAATACCAAAAAATTAGCTGGGCGTGGTGATGGGCACCTGTAATCACAGCTACTTGGGAGGCTGAGGCAGGAGAATTGCTTGAAGCCGGGAGGCAAAGGTTGCAGTGAGCCGAGATCGTGCCACTGCACTACAGCCTAGGTAACAAGAGTGAGACTCAGTCTCAAAAAAAAAAAAAAAAAAATTTTATCTTTAGTAGAGGCGGGATCTTGCCATGTGGGCCAGGCTGGTCTCAAACTCGTGACCTCAAATGATCCACCTGCCTCAATCCGGAAGTGCTGAGATTATAGGTGTGAGCCATGCCAGTGTGGACTAGAATTTTCATTTGGTTCTTTATAGTTTCTAGTTCTCTGCCAAAACTCTCAATCTGATCTTGTATCTCCTTAAACACAAGCAGCATAGTTGTTGTAAAGTCTGTGTCTGGTATCTGGAAGCCCTGCTGATCTGTCTATAGTCTGTTGTTTCTACTGGTTTTAACTCAAGTGCCTTTGCCTCCCTGGGTGTCTATTTTTTTTATTGTATGCACAATAATGAATTTACAAACAGACTTGTGAAAGTCATTAGAGGCCTCCATTGATGTTATCTCTCTCTAGAGAGGATTAAAGTTTGTTTCTGTTGGGAATCTGGAGACACTAGTACACTGGGATTACTTTAATTTCAGAGGACTGAGGTGATGTGAAGCAGGGCTGCAGTCCTTCCAAAGTCTTACTTCTGGCTCATGCGCATTCCTTGGAAGTGGCTTCTTGTGATCCCAATCCAAATTGTGAGGGGAGGGTGTCACCCAGGACTGTTGCCCTTTGGCAGAACCTGGTGCCTCAGCCGTGTTAAGGCACTCGGACAGTATCACAGGGCTCAGCCTCTCGGCTCCCATGTTTGTTTTGTTCATGGCCCAGTGTTCGTTCCCCAGGGCTGCCCTAGGGCTGCCACAAAACTTCAAGGCTTAAAACAAAACTTGAAAACAAAACAAAACAAAACTTGACTGTCTCACTGCTCTGGGGGCTGGAAGTCCGAGATCAAGGGATCAGAAGGGCCGCACTCCCTCTGAATGCTCTAGGGGAGATTCCATCTGTTATCTCTTCCAGCTTCTAGTGGCCCCAGGCATTCCTTGGTTTGCATCAACAGAACTCTAATCTCAGGCTCTGTTTTCCCATAACCTTTTTCTCTTTATGTCTTTCTGTCAAATCTCCCTCCCCTTTCTCTTATAAAGACACCAACACTGGATTTAGAGTTTCTCCTAAGTTCACGATGATTTACTCTCAAAATATTTAATTAGCCAGGCACAGTGGCTTGAGCCTACACTCCCAGCTACTCAGAAGCCTGAAGCAGGAGGATCACTTGAGCCCAGGAGTTTGAGACCAGACTGGGGAATACAGCAAGACCCCATTTCAAAACAAAAATTTTTGGCCAGGCACAGTAGCTGTAATTCTAGCACTTTGGGACGGCAAAGGGGGAGGATTGCTTGAGCACAGGAGTTTGAGACCCCAAGCATGGGCAACATAGTGAGACCCCCGTCTCCACAAAAATTTGTTTTTAAATTAGCCAGGCATCATGGAACGCATCTGGAGTCCCAGCTACTCAGGTGGCTGAGGCAGGATTGCCTGAGCCCAGTTAGAGACTGCAGTATGCCGCTGCACTCCACCCTGGACAACCGAGCAAGACCCCATCTCAAAAAAAAAAAAGAAAGAAAATATTTTTAAAAGATATTTAACTAATATCTTATTATACCTACATCCTGAAGTTCCAGGTGGACCAAATTTGGAAAAGATGCCAAACCCACTACAGATGCCACTATAGATTCCAAGGTCAAAAGCAGCCACAAATACCACACTCACTTCCACAGACGTTCAGCCTCCCCAGATCCTAGTCCAGAAATTCAGCATCATCTCATTAGCAGACTGTGCCTGGCAGACTGGCTCCTCAGTTACTCAGCCCACCACTGCCAGAAGCAGAAGTCACTGCTCCCTACTCACCTTTCAGAGCCCAGCTAGTCACTGCCTCAAGAAGCCCTCCCAGACCTCCCTGATATCAGGTCAAATTTACCTATGATGTCCTCTCAAAGTATTCTGGCTCTCTCCTCATCAGCACCGGTCCCCATCACAACTTTATATTAACCGTGCAATTGTTTTATTAATGTCTTCTAGACTATCATCTCTAAAAATTTTTGTTGCTGTTGTTACTCAATAAGATACCCCTAGTGCCTCGCACAACAATTAACAATGTTAAGATCTCAAATATTTGCTGTTAAACTGAACCAGTGAAATAAAAAATATAATACCTAGCCATGATATTCCCACTAGTACTCAATAAATTAACAATTTCTTTAAAAAATGGTCTTTGCTAATTTTCAGCCAGATTTGTTTGTATTTGCTCTTCTGGAGCCCAGAGATGGAGACTCAGACCAGCTTGAGCTGAAGAAAAATGGAGTCAGGGAAATGATTCCTATCTGGGATAAAAAAAGAACAATCAGAAAGACAAAAAATAATCAAAAGCAACCATTTAGTGATCACTTACTATACATCGGCCACTATGTTAGGTGTTCTACACAGATTATCCCATTTAATTCTATGAGTTAACATCCCCATTCCTATTTTACGGATATGACAACCATTATTTCTATTTTACAGACATGGAAACTGAGGCTCCGGAACACACAGTTAACATTTACTGTCACTACAACCAACCTAAGATCTAACATTTTCCATGTTTACAGATGAGGAAACCGAGTCTTAAGGGAGGTTTAGATGCCCTGTCCACAATCGCATGCTTAACTAGAAGCACAGGGTCTGAAGCAACTTTATCTGACACCAAAGTTTAGACTCTGAAATCCAACAATAAAATGGTATTAAAAACCTTCTACATTACTTCATACCTACTAGGATGGCTATTATCAAAAGAGAGATAATAACAGGTACTGCCAAAGATGTGGAAAAATTGGAACCCTCCTCATACACAGCTGATGGGAATGTAAAATGGTATGGTAGCTTTGGAAAATAGTCCAGTAGTATTACCATATGGCCCAGCACTTCCACTCTAGGTATATAGCCAAGATAAATGAAAACCAACGTCCACACAAAAACATGTACATGAATGTTCATAGCAGCATTATCCAGAATAGCCAAAAAGTAGAAATAACTCAAATGTCCATCAACTGATAAATGGATAAATAAAATGCAGTGTATCTGTATAATAGAATACTACCCAGTAACAAAAATAAGAAATGAAGTACCGATACATGCTATGACATGGATGAACCTTGAAAATATCATGCTAAGTGAAAGAAGCCAGAACACATATTGTATGATTCCATTTTTATAAAATGACCAGAATCGGCGAACACAGAGACAGAAAGTAGATTCTGGTTGCCTATGGTTGAGGGAGTTCAGAGGAAATGGGGTGATGAAAATGTTCTAAAATTGACTGTGGTGATGGTTGCACAACAGCAAATATACTGACAACCCCTGAACTATATGCTTTAAATGAGTGAACTGTATCCCATGTGAATTATATCTCATAAAACTGGGGTGTATTTTTTTAAGATTTTTACAACTTAAACCTTTCACCTAATTTTTACTAGTCTTCATTTCATAATGGAAAAAATGCTTTGTCTAAATTTAAAATCAGGAATCCAAGCACTTTCATGCTCATATCCAAAAAAATGTTAACTTTTTAGAAACTTTCAAATAAATTAAACTCTTTTAACTGATAGCTTCGCAGAATTACACGGTTCTTTACCGAAATTTCAAAATACCTTATAATGCACTGGGGAATGTGCTGGTTGGTGTGTTAGCTCCATTTTCTTTCTTTCCGTTCTAGCTGTGCAGTTCTACAAAGTCATTACTGTATACTGTGGTCAGGAAATACAAATGAAGTAATGTCTTTGCTGGGGACAGCTTCAACTCTATAGAGCTCGAATATATTAAAAAATCACACATGCATGAAACACTAAACTGACAAATGGCCATCACAAATCTGCACAGATCAAATTTTCAATATGCTAAAGATCTATAACCTGAAGAATTATTTGAAGTTTGGAGAGGCTTCTTTTTACATGTGCGCCATAAAGTCTTATATTTCAAAGTGTGGTCCATGGACCAGCAGCATCAGCATCTTCTGGGAGCTTGTTAGAAATGCATATTCTGCCAGGTGCGTTGGCTCAAGCTTATAATCCCAGCACTTTGGGAGGCTGAGGTGGGTGTATTACTTGAGCTCGGGAGTTTGAGACCAGGATGGGGAATATGGCGAAACTCCATCTCTACAACAAAATACAAAAATTAGCCAGGCATGGTGGCATTTGCCTGTAGTCCCAGCTACTTGGGAGGCTGAGGCAGGAAAATCACTTGAGCCCTGGAGGCAAAGGTTGCAGCAGCTGAGATCGCACCACTGCACTCCAGCCTGGGTGACAAAGTAAGACTTTGTCTCAAAAAGAAAAAAGAAAATAAAAAGAAATGCACATTCTAAGGCCCCACCCACCCTAGACCTACTCAACCATAATCATCATTTTAACAAGATCCCTAGGGGATGAATCTGCACATTAAAATTTGAGGAGCACTGTCCTAAGACATTCTCTTTGTTTTTCTCTTCATTAAGACAGCTCTGACTTGCACTAGACTAATATTTTAAAAGCCTGACATACATACAGTTCTGGTCCTGGGCCAGCTTGTCCTCAGATCCATTCTTTGTCCTTCTGCTCCAGTCCAAGTTGTGGAGGAGGTGACCCCAGCCAGGACAGGGTTCCCAGGCAGAAGGGGAACAGTACATCTGTAGCAGCAGCTGTGCCCTTGCAAGCCTCCAGCCACTGCCAAGTGGACCCCTTGTGACCCCACTTTTTGGTGGGTGACAGCTGTCCCTGAAGTCTGAAATGCCATCTCCTTCCTTCACCCTCCAGCTTAGGGGTGGCAGCGGTTTCCTGCTTGTTGCCTCATCTCCGGCTTGCCTCACTGCAGCCTGCATTCTCAGTACTCCCACCACCTGTGTGACCACTCCCCTACGTTACATTCCTTCTGCTCTAAATACTTAAGGTGAGTTCTGTTTTTCTTTTTAGACTCAGACTGCTACCCCATACCATTTTTGATATTTCTATTATGTACCATAGATACCAGAAGAATTTTGTGAATGGCTTATCTGCTGGAAAAAAAAAAAAAATAGAGCTATTACATACAGTCAACCTCGCATTCCCACATTCTGACAATCTCTTAACAACTCAGAAGAAAAATCAGCCTTAAGCTATCTGTACAGCAGATGTGACTGTATTCAGAAACTCTAAGTCCTCGGGGTGTATTTTTAACAGTCTACCCATCACTCCTCCTCAACCAGAACAGCTGGTATAGCAGCTATTGTTTTAGGAGAAAAAAGAAGGAAAGCAAAAACACCTCTTAACCAACAAAATTCTGAACACTGGAATCTCTCAGGAATCAAATCTCTCTCAACACAATCTTGTTCTTAATCAACCTTTTAAATCACATGATCTACCCCACACTGGTCAGCACCTTGCCTGGGCAACAGAAGAAAGCAAGTCCTATCAGTACCATTTAGGGCTATGTGGAGATCTTCCCAAAAGCACATCTGGTCCATCACCCTCATGCTTTGAACAACCCTCTGTGGCCACCTCTTGCCCACGGCCAAAAAGCAAACCCCTCAAAGGACCAGCCCCTCGAAATTCAGCCTTAACTAACCCTTCCAACCTCTAAGTCTAATCAACGTGATCCACCTCTGGCCCAACTTCTGATCATTTCACAGTTGTGCCTAAAGCTCTAGACACAACGTTCAAATATGTAGAAAGCCATTTCTTACCCACTTAGCCTGGCGAATTCCTTATCCCTCAAGATCCCACCTTAAAGAAAACCTCTCCTGCCTCCCCAGGGCAGTCTCTGCCCCGAGTTTCCACAGCACTTAAAATGTTGTCATGTCAGGTGCCCAGGTGTCCATCTCCCCACTAGACTGAGAACCCCTAGGTGTAGAAACTACCTTCCATCTTAGGTCTTGACCATGGTTCCAATCCAGATCCACATTTACGACCTGTGACACTCTGGACAAGTCATTTAACCTTGACTCTACTTCTATTCCAATTCCAAAAGGCGGAGATGATAGCATCCAGCTCACTGGGTTCTCACCAGTACTAATAAACTAACCACGTCAAGTGCTGTAAAGCTAACCCAAGAAATTGCCTGGCACATAGACGGTATTAAAGAATTGTTATTTGCTATTGCTATCATTATTATTACTACTGTTACTGTTACACCCGGAACAAAGCAGGTGTTCCGTACCTATTTGCTGAATAACTGGAGCACTTCACAACAAACCTGTTTGTAACATGTTAGGACTTCAGGTTCCCCCATCGCAGGTATCCTAGGCTGACAGAAGAGAAGGCTCCCACGGTGAAGGGACCGGCTGAACCTAACCCGCCCCTGTGGAAAAGCGCACTGCAGCAGGAGGAGAATGTCCGTGCCAACCGGATCTGCCAGCGCTGCCCCAGGGACTCAGCCTCCTCACGGCCACCTGTCCAGCCACCTGCCTGAGGAAGCAGTGTTCTAACCGGGCGGGCTCACCTGGAGCAAAAACCGTAAGCAGTTTTCAATAGGAAGCACAACGGGAAAACAAACGGTCCAACTTTCCTCCTGCAAAAAGGACGTGCGTCTTTATCTAATATTTAGCGTTCGGAGTTCTCAGTGGAGAGTTGGGTGCCAAGCGGGTGCGCGGTCCCGGCTTTGCTGAGAGAGACGGTCACTGAACGCGCATCCCTTCCTTCCCTTTTGTGATGAAGGGGTGAAGGGGTGATCCCTCGCACCCGGGTCCGAGCGGACTTCTGAGGGCACCACAGGGAAGTCTGCAGGGCACTCGCGGGACATCACCCGACCGCTCCTGAGAAATGTGCAGAACTGGGGTTTGGGGACCGCGCACGCCCGCGGGGCGCAGCCGGGAGCCCCCGCGTGGGACCCGCTCGGTGGCACGAGCGCAGTCCCCTGCATCTAGGCCTCAGTTTCCTCCGGGTCCTCGCGGCCCAACTCGTCGCGCGCCCCCCGCCCAGCACGCGGCCCCCGGGAGCGCCCACCTGCGCGCCCCCCGCCCGGCCCCGCCGCCGCCCGCCGTCCGTCGGGGGCCGCGCGCTCCGCCCGGGGCGCCGGCCCGTTACAGCTGCGGGTCACGCTAGACCGAGGCGGGGACGCCCGCGGGACCCCAGGCCGGGCCGGGCCGGGCCTGGGCGGCCGCTCGGGCAGGGCCACGGGCCTCGGCTGGGGCTGCCGCGGCGTGAGGGGCGCGCGCCCGGGCCGCCGCGCCGCGAGCTCACCTTCTGTCGGATCTGGCCCGACGTGGACACCTTGCGGATGAGCTTCTGTGGGGAGCCGGGCTCCGCCTCGGGCTCGCTGTCGGACGACTCCTCGGGCGGCGGCGGCGGAGGCGGTTGCGGCGGACCCGGCGGAGGGGCGCCCGCCGCCGCCGCCATGCTGCCGGGCCAGCGCGCGCACCGCGGGCGGGGGCGGGGCGGGGCCGGCGAGAGGGGCGGGGCCGAGGGCGGGCCGGGCCGGGGGCGGTGGGGGCGGCCTCCCGCCTCTCCCCGCCGCGCCCCCTGCCGGCCTTGTGCGCAGCTGCAGACGGCGCGGCGCGGCCCCTCCCCGCCCCCACCTGAAGGGTCCCGGGGCCCCCCGCCCACCTCTCCCGGCCGTGGCTTCTGTGTGTTCTTTCTGGGACGCCGTTTGTGTTCTTGTTTCTATGTTCACTTCTTAAAACATCTCCACTCTTCCGCATCAGAATGTAGGTAACCTCCGGCAGGCCAGGGCCGCGTCTGTCCTGCCCAGCCTTGTGTGGCCGAGTTTGGGGCGAGCTCGAATGCGCGCGCGCATGCTGGAAAGAGACCCCGGTACTGGGACGGTCCTCGGGACACCAGAACTGGGATGCACCGCTCCATCTGGGAAGGCTTCCTGGAGAAAACGGTTCTTAAGAAGAGATGGAAAATGTGAGCAGGAGTTGTGACTAGAGAGGGAATCGTGTTCTAGGCAGAGACCAGATTTGTGCAAAGGCCTGGAGGTAAGAAAGAACTTGTGTTGGGCGAAGACGAGGGAAGAAAGGGAAGCTGGTGCTTAGAGCAAGGAAAACGGCATTAAGATATGAGCCTCGGGGCGGGCAGGTCGAAGCGGGCTTTGGAAACCAGATAAGGGGTTGGAAGGCAGCAGGAAGCCCTTGAGGGATTTAACCCTGGGCGGGGCTGGGTCACCACGCGGGGGCCTGTGATCCGGGCTTTGAAGTTATCAGGGCAGGTGGACACCCTGGATTACCGAACGGCTGAGAGATAGAGAAGTGGACTGAGATCCAGGTGGGGAGTGACCAGCGACTGGAGGGAGACAGAGGTGACAGGGACGAGCCCCATGTTGCCCAGGGAGGCTGCTGGATAGTGGGTAGGTTGGGGTCCAGCCCTGCTCTGGGCAGAAGAGGGGAAGCGCAGCTGGAAATAAGATCAGCCGAGTTTTTGGTGCCATCCAGGTGGAGCAGGACTTGGTGCCACCCAGAGGAAATGCTGTCCATCTGTCTGCCCTGCTCTGAGGGGCAAATCAGTAAGGGGCTGCCCAGGTGTGCCCTTGCCCCATCAAAGGGCTGCTGCTAGAGACCCCACCTGCCTATCGGCATTCGCCAGCCCGCCGCCCTGGGCAGTGACTGGGGGCTGCAGAGTGGCATCTGGCATGGGGACACGGCCAGGGGCATGGGCTCACAGCCAGGACAGAGGAGGACAAGGCCTAAAGCAGGAACAGTCTGGGACAGGCCAAAGGCCCCAGGGTGCACCAGGGTACTAGCCACTAGCCACATGTGGCTACTTAAATTTCAGTTAAAATTAAGCATTCTGTTCCTCAGTCACATGAGCCACATTTCAAGGACTCAGTAAGCTGCATGTGGCTTAGCAGCTGCCACTCTGGATAGCACAAATACAGAACACTTCCTCCGTCCCCCCAGAAAGTTCTGCAGCACAGTCGCATGCTGAACTGTGCCCTCCCATCATCCCTATGTTGAAGTCCTAACCCCCAGTACCTCAGCATGTGACTGCATTTGGAGTTAAGGTTTTTAAAAAGGTAATGAAATTAAAATGAGGTCACAGGGGTGGTCCCTAATCTGGTATGACTGGCGTCCTCATAAGAAGAGGAGATGAGAACACAGACACACACAGAGGGCAGCCCATGTGAAGACACAGGGAGAAGATGGCATCTACAGGCCAAGGAGAGAGGCCTCCGATGGTGGCATCTACAGGCCAAGGAGAGAGGCCTCCGATGGAACTCCCCCTGCTGACACTGTGATCTTGGACTTCCAGCCACCAGAACTGAGAGCTTCAATTCCTGTGGTGGAAGCCGCCCAGCCTGTGGTGCAGTGCTCTGGCAGCCCTAGAGAACTCATGCAGGCACAAAGGGCTCCAGCCTCCCCACAGGGTTGGAACTTGTCTATCAATTAACTACATATGGAGTGATACACAGAAGCAAAACCCTGGGGGTGAGCAAGGCGACAGAGGGGCAGGGACGCACAGGGGAAGAAAGAATTCATTCCTTCATTCCGCGGGGGAACCGGGTGACCTGAGCAGGGTTTAGAATTGGAATGGAGAGGCCGGATATGAAGGGAATTTCCCAGGACAACACAAAAAGGGGGAGACTACCCCCTACCAGGTGAGCAGAGCGGGTGACGAGGGATTTAGGTGAAGCTGGTAGCAAGGTGGGTGCAGGAGGCAGGGAGGTGAGCAGCCGCGCCAGGATGCAGAGTAGCCTCCCGGCCCTGCTATGAGGCAAGGACTTCAGTCCCGTGGACACTGAAACTGGCAAGGGGGTTTTGGAAAGCAGAGGAACTCACGTATCTGAGCAGAGAATGATCCAGGGGACAGAAGACTAGAAACAGGGAGGCCATTAAAATGCTGTTGCCTACACGTGTTAGGAGCCCGGGGGACATCTGGGCCCCAGAACTCGTCATTTTAGAGGCAAGGGCATGAACGTGGTGGTTAAGAAGCAGAAACCGTGGCTGGAGAGGAGGAAATCTGCAATTACCAGAAAATACTGAGATTGTCACAGCCAAGAGGAGCCAAGGAGACATGATGACTAAACGTCACATGGGATCCTAGATGGGATCCCAGAACAGAAAAAGGACATTAGGTAAAAGCTGAGGAAATTGGAATTAAGTACGGGGCTTTAGTTTAATAATAACGTGTCAATATTGATTTCCGGGTAGGAGGAGGGTGAGGATTGAAGAACTACCTATCGGGGATTATTGCGCTGATTACTTGGGTGACAAAAGTATCTGTACACCAAACCCTCATGACATGCCATTTACCCATGTAACAAACCTGCACATATACCCCCTGGATCTAAACTAAAAGTTGGAAAGAAATATATGTATTACTGGAAACAAAATTTGAGTCATTCAGTGTGGCAAATGTACCTTACTCATGTAAGGGTTAATAATAGGGGCTTTGAGGTGTGGGGGACCTCACCAGAACATCTTTGCAACTTTTCTGTAAATCTAAAACTATTCAAAATAAAAAGTGCATTTTAAAAAGGATTAGGCTTGGTAAAAATTATGTTCTTAAAGCAAAGAAAACTCTGGCATGAATGTTCTTTGATGATGAAGCAGCTTTTTTGTTCTCCCCGTGAGCGCACAGTGTGGTTCCCCTGGAGATCTCAGGAAGGGCTGAGACATCAACTCCCCCAAAGCGGTGGCCTGGAAGAGCACATTCCCTCCGGTGCTTCTTTATTGAATGAGTCATACTATGAATCATCTCTAACGACAGCCTGCTCCCTGAGTCTACCCCACCTTGAGGGCATATCAAGGTGGCAGTAATAACACACTTCACGTCCAACCTAATCCTTCTTTGTGGCAGGTCAGTGAAGAGGCACAACTCTTGTCAGAAAGAACCACTTCACATTGGAGAATATAAACGGGAAACTTGAAAACATGGGAATCATCCAATTTTTACCCTCAACTAGGGTCATGATTGACATTTGGAGCAGCACGTTTCTCCATTGCATGTGACATAGAGCTTCTGGTCCTCAAGCATGTGAAAACCAAAAACCACC